CCCAACCCCTAAAATCTGAAAAAAGGGGGCGTGGCGTCAGCCACGCCCCCGAAAAAAGTTTTTTATAAAGCTAATTTGAATTTTTAAAAAATTTTAAAAATTATTTCAATTATTTACATAAATAAACAAGTCGTTTGCACATTTTTATAACCCATATAGGTAAGTTTCAAAAATTTCGCGACCCATTCTCGGGGGGGGGGGCGCCCCCCCTCGGTCCGCCACTGCTTGCCGCCTCAGTTTATAAGCATTTTCTTCCCTCGAAACCAGGCTCTATGTGCTTTTCTACTTTTGGGGGCAGAAGTAGGATTCAAAAAGGTAAAGGCGGGCCAAAGTGAATTTATAACAACTTTAGGTAAATTTACCGCCTTCGTCATTTCCGAGTGTGATTATAGAATTCTCAGCATGCTCACTTACCCCCGGATTAGCGCCATCTGAGCCTCGTAGCTTCAGCTTTGAAAAAAAGATGAAATCAATAAAAGTAATGGAAATTCTCAAAAACTATCTTTGCAGTGAGCGTGCTCACATACAACTTTGTGCAATGTCAGCCGTGTAGCTCTAATTTTACAAAGAACTAGCTGGCTTGCCCGGCTCCGCCGGGCCTGCCAGCTAGACCCGTGTACGTATGTTCCGAATAGAAATTTTTATCTCTGAACCGATTGGGACCGAACTTTGCACACATACACTTCGGGGCAGGGAGCGTGTCACAGCCCACTTTTCGTTATCGATCGATGTCGATTTTACCGATTTTTTGCAAAATTTGAGCTAGGGGGCTAGGATTTTGCACAGGGGGGTAATCGAGCATGCTGATCACCCCTTCGGGGTGATCAGCATGCTCGATTACCCCCCTCTGCCAAATCCCAGCCCTCTAGCTCGAATTTTGCAAAAAATCAATAAAATCGATATCGATCGATAACGAAAAGTAGCCTATGACACGCTCCCTGCCCTGAAGTATATGTGTGCCAAGTTTGGTCCCGATCGGTTCAGAAATAAAAATTTGTATTCGGAACATACGTACATACATACAGACAGACAGACATACAGACAGACATACAGACAGACAGACAAACAGACATTCAGCTTTATATATAAGATAGAAAAATCGACAAAAATAATAGGTTCTTCTAAGAACACTTATTACAATCGTAATCGGCATGCTCGCTTTCTCCCATGTGCCAAATCCCAGTTCCTGGCTTAAACTTTGCAAGAAATCGATAAAGCCAGTGAAGGTAAGTGACAAGTTGTAAAATAAGAATGTGCTCGTGAGCAGCATGCTCAATTACCTGCCTGTACCAATCCCCAACGCCATAGTTCAAACATTGGAAAAAATCAATTAAACCAATAGAAGTAAGGGGTATTTTCTGGAATGTTATGATATTCGTAATCAGCATGTCCCCTTACCCCCGTATGCCAACTCCCAGTCACGTAGTTCAAAATCTGCAGAAAAATCTAGAATGATAAAAGTAATGGGTATTCATGAAAATGGTTATCATATTCGTAATCAGCATGCTCGATTACCCCCGCGTGCCAAACCCCAGCCCCGTAGCTTGAACCATGCAAAAAAATCGATAAAATGATAAAAATAACTGATAATTCTAAAAGCTATATTGTATTCGTAATCAGCATGTTCGCTTGTCCTCCTGTGCCAACTCCCAGCCCCGTAGCTTGAACTTAGCCAAAAAATCGATAAAATGATAAAAATAACTGATAATTCTAAAAACCAGTATTGTATTCGTAATCAGCATGTTCGCTTGTCCTCCTGTGCCAACTCCCAACCCCGTAGTCCAAAATTTGCAAACAAATCGATAAAATGATAAAAGTAATGGGCATTTTTGAAAATAGTTATCATATTCGTAATCAGCATGCTCGATTACCCCCGCGTGCCAAACCCCAGCCCCGTAGCTTGAACCATGCAAAAAAATCGATAAAATGATAAAAATAACTGATAATTCTAAAAGCTATATTGTATTCGTAATCAGCATGTTCGCTTGTCCTCCTGTGCCAACTCCCAGCCCCGTAGCTTGAACTTTGCCAAAAAATCGATAAAATGATAAAAATAACTGATAATTCTAAAAACTAATACTGTATTCGTAATCAGCATGCTCGATTACCCCTGTGTGCCAACTCCCAGCCCCGTAGCTTGAACTTTGCAAAAAAATCGATAAAATGATAAAAATAACTGATAATTCTAAAAACCAGTATTGTGTTCGTAATCAGCATGTTCGCTTACCCTCTCGTGCCAACTCCCAACCCCGTAGTCCAAAATTTGCAAACAAATCGATAAAATGATAAAAGTAATGGGCATTTTTGAAAATAGTTATTATATTCGTAATCAGCATGCTCGATTACCCCCGTATGCCAACTCCCAGCCCCGTAGCTTGAACTTTGCCAAAAAATCAATAAAATGATAAAAATAACTGATAATTCTAAAAACTAATACTGTATTCGTAATCAGCATGCTCGATTACCTCTGTGTGCCAACTCCTAGCTCCGTAGCTTAAACTTTGCAAAAAAATTGATAAAATGATAAAAATAACTGATAATTCTAAAAACTAATACTGTATTCGCAATCAGCATGCTCGATTACCCCCGTGTGCCAACTCCCAGCCCCGTAGCTTGAACTTTGCCAGAAAATCGATAAAATGATAAAAGTAGTGGGCATTTTTGAAAATGGTTATCATATTCGTAATCAGCATGTTCGACCCGCAGTTCAAAATTTACAAATAATCGATAAATTTGGTAGAAGTAATAACAAGCTTCCATGCTAGAAAATGACAAACACGAAAACACCATCGAGGACCTACAGACAGCATCAACAAGCATGCTTATCCACCAGCGTACAGACAAGCCACCAGTGTACAGACAAAATCCCATTCGGTTTTATATATATAGAAGGATAAGAATAAATAGAAGTAGAATAGATATAAAAATAGAAATAGAAATAGTAAGAATAGATAATGAGTTCGTAGCCATTTCCTTCTCTTGAAGAGTTTAACACCATCAACATAAAGCGAGCATCGCGTGCGAACGGAAATACCTACATGAACGATAGAAAAGAGGGATTCACAGTGATGAACTTTACACAACGCTGGGAGTTATGGCATGCTCTGAATGAGCGTCACTGTAAATAATGTAAGCTGAGGTAGAATTAACCTTGAGGTGCTTAAATGAATACGAATCAGCCTTAAGGTAGCGTGTACCTTGAGGTATAATCTACCTCAAGGTTCATTTTACCTCAGGTAGCAATGATGAACACGGGCTCTATTTGGTAGCAAGTGTGAGAAGGTCAGGGCTCGGCAGTGGTGGCGCTTTCACATGCTGGATATCGTTCTCTGGATTAGAAGCAAAAGTGAAATCGTGAAGTTCTCAAGGGCGACTTCCGAATCTCATAGGATAGCAAGCACGATTCTAATGCACAATGAGCCCGAATTTGGCTTTAGCGTCATTTAACCGCTAACAGGTCAATTAACATGTTACAAATACGACCAGTTTACCAACTTGTGTTCACGCAATTCCCGACGTGTTGAAATATGATCTTTAAGGATAAACAATTAGTTTGTTTACTACAACTAAGCGATATTGAGCCATCAAAATTGGTGTATAATTTCGCGACCATGAGGAAAAGATGAGTGCAAAAAATCATGAAAAAGTTATGTGAATGGAAGATTTTGTGTTTTTCCATTTTAGGTTGCTCCCGTGCAATCCGGAAGCACCCTGAGGTTGCGCGAAAACAAACAAAGTCATAATTTACCCACTGCCTCACATAAATTTTTGAAAATTTTTACAGAAATATATTCTTCAGTTTAGCTCTATCTATGGATACTCACTGTAGCCCAAGTTTGGACCCCTCTGCTTTGCTACGGCACCTGACGATTCAAAAACCTTCTTCTTTTGCCCATTAAGTTATATCCCCAAATTTTTTTGGTTTTTCTCAGTTTTGTCCACTCATCGTTCGCTGCAGATTATAAGCCTACTTTCACAGATCTTTAGAAGAATATTCGTAAATTTCTGCAGTGTCAAAGGAGAGTATGTTTTCAAAAATTTCAAATGCCACCTCGTGCTGGGCTTTGGAGAAGGTCGACTAGCAGAGTGGGTTAAACGCTTGATGGTCTGAAATCACGGATGACACTTACAAGGATAGGATACTCGGTGACCGTGGCTATTTGGAATGCGGTGTATACCGTAAGATGTACCTCGAAACGCTGATTCTAAATCTGTGCTCAATATCTGCGAAACGATTTTCTGAAGGAAGTTATGAACTTTTCGTTCGTGAAAAATTTGCGTACTTCTGAGTAGTTAAAATCACCAAATTTAGTCTAGGTTGCCATCTGAAGCTATTGAAAAGAGTTGTTAAAGGTGTACTGTTGTATCATATCTATCTAAATCACATTCAGCATTTGAAAAAGAAAGAAAATTTTTTGTTGATGATTTTGACCCTCCATAGTAGCGCAGTTTGATCGTGAAAAAATAATCATAACTCCATCCAGATTATCGTTTCGCAGATACGGAAAACAATATTCAAACCAGCATCAAAAGGCGCATTTTCTCATATACAAATCATCACGGATGGCCACGGTCACCAAGTATTCTTCCCTTGTTAGAACCATTCAGGCCTCTGAGGAAGACGAAAGGCGTCGAAACGCAAGGCCGTGATTGGAAGAAATAAAGACCACTTCTCAAACGTGTACGGCACAAAAGAAATATGAACTTACGACCATGCCAAGATCTTATGAAAACGAGACTTAAAAGTCGTTTTGGACTGTTTTGCTTCCATAAACAGCTCAGCTTCTGAGTTCGCATAAATGCTTCTGTGCTTTAGTGGAAATGGTTTAAAAAAAACATGTCACTGGAACCAAAACGTATTGATTTTTTCTTAACACGCATACATTCTCGCAAGATCTTTGGATAAAATTCTCCAGTTTAGAGCGCCTATTTCGTGGGCGCTCTATGAAGAAATGAGTTCAGATAACGGAGAAGTTTTAGTTTAACAAGAGCCGACTTACCGTAAGCCCCCTAAAAGAGGCTTTGATTTTTTTTTGAGTTTCAAACACTCCATTTGGGCGAGTATGTCGAGAGTGTCTGGATCATAGCTTTGCGCCATAATAAGCTTCGCGACACTGAAATACAATGGTCAGACCATTCTATACAGCATCATCATTATAATAACGGGCTAAGGGTTATTTACGTGTCTGTGTATCTGTGTGAATGTCTGTCTGTCACAATTCATAGAGCGAGTTCCAGCAAATGTCTTGAAATAAAAATTTAACTATAGCATCTTGCCAGCATCTACTCAGATAATCGCCAAGGGCAGGCATCCATGCGATTTTTGGGCAAGCGGCACTGGAAAAATAGTTTGCTGTTTTCTTGCGGTTCGCTTGCAGAAATTTGGAAGAATGTCGGTCAATTTGAACGAATGCTCGGAGAACGACCGCGGTTTTTCTATGTATTAGTTGCGGCGCAGTGGCCCATGCGCGCGGAAAGTCAAAAGCTTTTGAGTCGGCGCTCAAGAGCACGCTGGTCTGAGAAGCATGTCTGTGAGATCTAACAAAATCAAAATGTAAGAATCAAGTTTTCGCGAAAATCAAAAAATCAACAACTATGGTGCACATGAAGTGACTTTGAGATGATTTTTCAGTAAAAAAAATGCGAAGTTTACAGCCGGGGTTAGTGACTCAAACTAAGTTGGTGTTGGAGTTTTCAGCTTTCTCATGTTGTTTCCGAAAACTTTTTCTTCCCATAGGCACGCCACTACTTTGAGTGTTTGTATCTTAATTCTACATCACTGAACAGAGACTGATCAGTTTTTGCACTGTAAAAATACGCAACTCGAAGTTCCGCAAGAGCTTCAAAGGCAAAAGAGCTATAGACGTTTGAATAGGGGTACGCTTACACTGGGTTGTCTTCAAACTCGTAGTACTGTTTGCTTTGAGAACGATATCTTGAGAATGTACAGCGTGAACGGTATGATTTTCTTGAGGAATACCAAAAACTAGGCAAAGTACTCAGAGCAGAATTGACTGCAAAGCGAGGAATACTCACAAAGTTTCTGCGTTGGAAAACTAGGCTAAAAAGACTTTTGGGACACCCTGTATACATAGAAAAAAAACGTGGCGCGGAGCTTTGGCGTGGCTATTGTGCGGGAAACGGGAGTAGTACGTGTTTGACGTAGACTGTAGGAAAACATGCGCAGTTGAGTGCAATGTGCGATAAGCGCCAATACCAGCGTACCAAGATTGACTTTATTTGAATAAAATGGAAGTGTTGTCATTTTTTCGTAGCTGTCATCGAACCTAGATATACAGCTCCAGTACAATTCATGGCTTAGGTCTAACAGTAACAATGTTTCCTACCCTGAGCCCTTGGAAAGAGACTTCACTTTGTTCTGAACTGAGCGCTCAGTCTGAGCGACTACGTCGGGAGTAGGATCTGAATCATCGCTTTGAGACGCCATAACACTCGCAGCGCTGAAACAACATTGACATATTGCTCTACAGAGTTCTTGTAATGGAAGGAAAAAAGAAACACAACTCGATTTGACAATAATAGTTCACAACACTAGCGATTACAAAAACAGAGGGAATGAGGTGCCGTAACACTAGGCAATTGCGAAGCGGCCCGAACATACAGTCGAGTAGATTCTCCGCTGAATATAGTGTGCTTGCACTGCAGGTAAGATGCGGTAAAATTTGCGCGTGAACATGTAGCCGCGCTGTAATGCCGGCACTTTGCGCGCGCAGTTGACCGGCATCACAAGCATATTTTACTCGACTGTACAATTATCCTAGATACTGGATGAAATCCAAAACAAAAACAAGAAATAACTTCAAGTTGGATTTGTGAAGCCAAAATAAGGTGTTTTATATACAGTTCGTGTTTATACTAATTTCCCAGGGCCGCTGGTCCAGCCGACGGGGAAGTTCGCGGGAAGACGAACCATATACACATAGATGAAAAAGTGTTTCACTGCAGACTATAAGAGACTATAGTTATACATTTTAATAGAAAAAAAATGAGAGATGAATTAAAATATTTTATACAGACGAAAATTCTCGAAACTAGGATTTTTGCATTTAGGATGTCTCAAGTATTAATGTACGGGGGTGAAGGACACGCTCTCAAAGAAACTTTGCTCAATCAAGCACTGTTTGATCAGCGAGTAGCAAATATGAGTTTGGTACATTTCTGTCCGAATGAAGAGGGGTCGATTTGAAGTAGGAGGAGCATCGAAAATGACTCATTTGTTTTGCACTCTGCTATACGGTAGCAACAAGCCCTTAGCTTCTTAAAACATCATTTTCCGAATGCCGAAGTGATGAGATTGCACGATAGAAATGCGCTCTAAGAATAGGAGCAAAAATACTGAGGAGGACGTTCAGAAAAATCTATGATTGTTCAGATAGCACAAGACAAGACAGCAACATATCATGCATATACGCAGATATGAAGTGTGTCCAAGCAGCGCTAAAATAACTCAGACAACCGACCGGAACTTCCGCAGCGCTTTCGCAGGATTTCAGCAAGTGACCCGGCGGAAATCCTGCGAAAGCGCTGCGGAAATCCTGCAATCTCAGGGTACAGGGTTTCCGCAGTACTTTGCGGTTTTCGCTTTTGATTCGCGATCCGTTTCTTACATATCAAGCTTCCTTTTTGATACTAGGTTTTCCTTTCCAGTACTAGGTTTTCGCTTTTTACTAAGGCATTATTCCTTTGATGTGGAAATTCCTCTAGACTTTCTAGATGCTAAGAGACGTAGACAGCGAGATAGTTTTGATGAGAAAGCAAATGGCACAGTGTTTTGTTTTATACAGGTACCATATAGAATCACAATAGGCCGAAGTTTATAACTGCAAATCAACAGATTAAAGAAGTGTTCATAAATAGATATGCATAAAATTACAGAAGCATTCGAGTATATGCATAACCGAATAAGGTTAAAAAATCGGCAGATATTAGGAATTGGAAAGCAGTGTTATGATAGAAGAGTAAAGAATAATGGAAGAATAAGATAAAAACAAGAATAATCTCAGTCACAAGGGTGATACGCGCTTCAAAGGGAAGATGGTCCTGTGGAGAAATAAACCGTTTCCACTTAGCGGGTGTCATTGTCCGCGCGACTCAAGCCGGCTTCGGCCTCCCTTCCTTTATGTAATGAGCATTAATTAAACTTTCTTGATGTAAATCGTGCCTTGCCGCAAGTGTTCCATTTTGCAACTTTTTCGCCAAAAAATATGGAGCAAATTTGGACGACTTATTTAAAGTTTTGGGAGTTTCGAAATCTCAAAAGGAGAAGCTCTGAGACAGAATTGAAAATTACAAGAGTTTTCTGCAAAAATCAAGGCTTTACTTCGACTTAAATTTTTTGGAATTTTTAAATTTGGAGCGGCAGAACTTTTGCAATCTAATATTCCAGCATTTTCCACACAAAACAGGAAATGTGTCAGACTCTAAGGCGGGTATGTGTAAGGGCAAGTTATTATAAATTATTGTTGAATTTTCTAAATTACTACTTAGAAAATAATACTAATGAACCAAAAGCTCGTCCTCATTTTTTTCAAAAATTCGAAACTTTTTCCCTTCACATCCGATCTGCACATGTTTATTTTGATAGAAGACATGCTCTTTCTAATGGTACCCGAGGCACTTTTTGATAGCTCCACAGATTGAAATCGGTGAAAAAAACTACTCCATTTTGATGTTCCCATGTTTGGTCGCAAAAATCTGCTTGCAGAAAATCGAGCAATCGGTATCATAGCTATTATTGCCTACTCTTTTTGAACGTATAAAGATTGCGCTGATTGAACGTCTCTTAAAAAGTTATGATTTTTGAGGAAGCCGTTAAAAAGAGTCAATATGATTTTTTGGCGGTTGCTTCGAAAATCATAATTTTTCCAAAAGAGGTTCAATCAGCGCAAACTTGGCACAGTCAGAAAGAACAGGCTATAAAATTATAATGCTCCGATTTCCGTTGCGAGTTTCAGTTTTGCGATTAAACGCAGAAATTTCGAGAAGGGAGTGATTTTTTTCTCCGGCTTCTATTTCTGGAGCTTGCTTCCATTGAAAGATTTATGTACTTCAGATAGGTACTATTGGAAACACGAATTCACAAATAAATATGTGCTGATACGTTGAAGATGTAGGAAGTATTTGGGAGAGAGAAAAGCATTTCAGCAAAAACAGAGAAGTAGAAAAGGATAGATAGATAGATTAGAGCAGTAGCGGTGCAAGAAACTTTTTCAGGGGGGGGGGACAAAAAATTATCTGGGTTCGTGGGCGTGAGCCACCGATCAAAGGGAAATTTAGAATTGGTTGAATTTTCGTGGTTCCAGTTTTTGTACGCCCTCGATTTTTTAGCAAAAAAGGTGCGTGGAGTGATCCACCCTTGAAAAATTGCCTAGACAGACTACTTTAGAGTTTAGAAGAGCTTTGACCTTTCATTATCCACAGTCGCAGACTACTTTGAATATTCTTGAGACCCATTAAGTCCCGCCCCTTTTCTTTTGATATATTTCTACCACATTATTTCTATTTTATTCAATCATTCAAGACTATTATTTAAAAATTTTGATTTCGTGTTTCTCAAGCTATTGTTTCAAATCATGAGTTTCGAATTTTTTATCTTTAAATCAAAAATTATTATTTTATGATGTGTGCGGTATTGTGAGAGGGGAAAGATTTGAAAATCAAAAGCAGAAAGAAGTAGAAAAGAGACGAAAAGCAGTGGCGGCGCGAGAAATCCATTTGAGGGAGGAGAGAGATATTGAAATTTTGGGCTCGTGGGCGTGTGGCCACTTCCACAAAAGAGAATTCAGGAATTGTTGAATTTGCTACAATTTTTGTATCACCTCGATTTTTTTAGCACAGCTCCTTCGAAAATTGTCCACAACTATTAGGTGGGACCAAAAGTACGTTCGCCAGTTTTCTAATAATCATAATTTCCTTTCGACAGACCAAAAAATTCTGGAAGTATTTTTTGATAGAAAAATTATGTTCTTTACTATAGTGTCTTTTTTCAGAAACAGTAAAGACTGAGAATTAAAAGCAAACAAAGAAATTACTACAATTTTGCGATTCTTGAGCATGCTCAGAAATGCCAAAAACATCACAGAAAAGACGGGATAGTCATTAACATGAGTTTTGTGACCTCCTTTTAGCTGAGAGAAAATCGTGCCAATCGAAAGCAATTTTGATTTTCGTAGAAAATCAGATCCGAAAACTCGGTAATATTACGAAAATCAAAATTGCTCTCGATTGGCACGAATTTCTCTTAACTAAAAAGAGAAGGTCACACTAAACTTCATGACTTTCCCGTCTTTTCTGTGACGTTTGGCATTTTTGAGCATGCTCAAAAGTTGCAAAACTGAAGTAATTCTCTTTATTTGCTTCTAATTCTCAATCTTTTTGTTTTTGGAAAAGGCACTACAGTAAAGAGTATAGTTTTCTCTATCGAAAGACACTTTCAGAATTTTTTGGTGACCCTTCTTGAAAATCCCAATCATGAGTGGCGTTGTGCTTGAATGAAGTCCCTTCGCTGCGCCCATTCCAGCACTCCAGCAGCTGGTGATGGTTGTTCACACACCCGCACCGATGCCTGCAAGAATAATTAGAATATGGATGAGTATAGGTTTACTTGCGCCAAAATTGAAGAAACAAAGAAAAAGCGAAAGAAAAGAGGAGGAACAGAAGCGAAACAGTATGGAAGAAAAAAGTGCGCTATGCGCTGTTCATGTTGCGTTCGCTATTTCGCAATCGCTGATGCATGCGCTCTCAAAATCCTGCAGAGATGCTGGCAGGTCAAAGTGCTGCGAAAACCTTACGAATCCCATTGCCAGTGCTTTATAGAATGTGCTGCGGAAGTTCCGGTTTACGATCACTCTGACGTCAATTTCCTGCGAAAACCCCGCATTCTGGAGCGTGCACTTTCTCAATGGTTAAGAAAGTGCTGCGGAATCGCTGCAACTCCTGCTTGTCCTGCGGAAGTTCCGGTGAATTGTCTGAGTCGTCGATTTTTACTTTTATCTTGATTAGTGTAGTATAAAACTAGTGCGCAATTCTGTATTTCTCTATTTGTTTACAAGAGTTACTTGATAAGATCTTGTGTCATTTCAACAGCACAAATAGCTCAATTCAACCGAAGTACAAAAAAAGAAGAAATAGAACTTTATTGCAACTTATAGGTACTCAACTTGTTTCAAAAACTAGTCTTTCACATACTTTTTCGCAAGTAAAAAATTTTGTCGAAGACTTGTTCTTGTAAACAACCCATATCCCTCCCCGCCTCATACAAAAGTACCAGCTTTAGCGAAAGAAGTATAGGCTGCTGCATAACGAAGGCGCAACATCTTTGAGCGCGAAAGCGGCTTTATTAGCCGGGGAGCGCATGATGCGTCGAATTTACCACGGTGAAGATACCCGCGCATCGCATTCGCGCCCGCTCAACTAATACTGCTTCGG